GTGTGTGTGTGTGTGTGTGTACTGAAAAAGGTAAAACACATCTGATTATCGATTATAGTAGAAGTGACGTTGTTCATGCTGTCGACAAAGGATGGGAGTCGGTTAAAGAGGCGTAGCTGTAAACACCGGTAGCCTCAATTCATTTTCTAAGAGAGTCCTGTCTGCTGTTATGTATCCTGTCATACACCCTTGGCACTGTATTGCAGATCGGATTTTGATGATGATAACGGCGCAAACCGTGCATCGTTGCTGGTTGTAGACTGATTTTTTATGTATTAGATTATGAGGCGGGAGTACTACATATTCTTCTTGTTTCTCAGCTGGCATGTTTACATAACATGCGTGGCAGATTTTATAATTGTCACTTTCTCTTTGGTACATGGGTTCGACTCTGAGAGTGACGCAGCGAAGCAGCCGGAGGAAGTCAGATAACGTTTCGCATTCGGTCTGCATTTGCGACTCCTGATGTCTCAACATTTTCGCCATACTGCAATCGATGATCAATGTTTTATTTTAAACATGATTCCTTCTAACTTAATTACTACCTGTTTTAGAATTATTTATTAACGTAACTTTTAATATATTGTGACATGGTAATCGCGTCGCTTCTCCCTTGCCACAAAAGCTCGAATGATCGCGGGAGTCCGGGGGTGCGAACCGTCTGGGAAGCGCCAGGATCCTCCAGGGCTTGCTTGCGTGCGCTAAATTTAGTCGCTTATTGTGTTATTTTTTTTGTATGCTCTTGGCGCCTCACCACACTGAGAACACACTACTGGAGGAGGTATCAGGAGCCGTCGATTGTTGAATAAAGGCGAGAGAAAGCGAGAGAGAAGGGCCTGCGTGGAGTCGCAGCTAGGCACTCGCACGACGGCCAGAGGGGTGAGTCTCAAAGAACAAGCGGCGCGGGAGAGGACAGCGACGAAGACAGCGAACATCGGCGCTGGGTAGCCGAGAAAGAAAGGCGAACACCCGACGATGGAGACAGCTTTGACCTTCCTTTCGCAACGGAAAAGCCTGCTGCAAACCTTCGCTGCTAACCTGCAGCTGCCATCCTGTTGCGCTACCGCATGCTGCATCTTTGTTGAATCTGCGGAATCCAACGCTTGGAAATCTCTGCTGCTTGCATTTTCGCTAGTGAGGTCCCGGTAATCTATTTGAATTTCGCGGCCGCGGGTCAGTAGTTAAGATATAGGGGTTCTGATGAGGGGGCACCGCGAGGGGGTGAGGGGGAGGGGAGGGGATAACCGCGCGAAGGAAAGGGGAGGGGGAAGGAGCGGTCAATGGAAGCATATTTGTAATAATGAGAGCAAGATCTGAGAAGTTGGGCGTTGCGGATGAGATAACGTAGGAGTGTGGGTGGTGTCGGCGGAGCGTTGTTATCGGCTCTATCAGAATTAGCCAATTATCGGCGAGCCGTAAAAATGGAGCTTGCAATATTCGACGTGTGTTCTATTTATTTCAGATATTGGTGACGTCATTGGTTGTAACGTGTTCGAACTTGTTCGTGCGTGTTCAAGGTCGTTTAGTCGATGACGTCATCACAAAAATAATAGTATCTCTCAATTATTATTGTAAATTGCACAGTAAAATAAATAAATTCTGAGAAAAACCGCAAGAACGACGATGACGCCATCGCTAAAAATAGAACTCGAGCAGGTTTGAACGTGTTCAAGGTCATTCGGATGATGACGTCATCGCTAAAATTTAAATTGCACAGTAAAACAAATAATTCCGAGAAAAACCGCAAATTTCCCGGAAGCGGTTCTCGTTTAAAAATAGCGCGCGGTTTGTAATTGCGCAGCAAATAAATAAAAAAATTCCGAGAAAAACCGCAATTTCCCGGAAATGTGCTTTTTCTTATCGTCCGAAACGATCAGGCACTTCCGGTTTGATGACGCACTTCTTGCGATAACGTCCGCATGAAAAACCGTTACGTACCGGGATGTGGTTTTTTTAAAATCGCAATTTCAAAACCTAAAGATTTTGAGGAAAGATAAGGAGCGAAATAAAAAGTGAACAAGTAACAACCTAGATATGTGTTTATGTCTCGAGGACTAGTGGTTCAAAAAGGATGTAATGGAACGCATATTGTTAGGAATGTGAAATAAAAAAACACCGTGTTATTGAAGAACATAGCAATTGTTTATTTTTTTTGTAAAACATAATGTTACATAATGAAAGTTAAACAATAATAATGTGTATTAAAGGGCAACACCGTAACATACAGCCAACAGTTCGCAATCGACAATGTCGTGGACGTCGAAGTAACCGCTCTGTGCGACAGCAGTTGCGAAGCTCGCGGGATCTGGTGTTTCAAACAGGATCGTGAAATACCGCGACAATCTGTCTCGCACGCGAATAACAACGTCGTTCAAGTAGGCGACGATGCAAGCAACGCAATGTTTTAAGTTGAACAAGTTGCACATCGATTGGTGGGACAGTAATATGCGATTGGTTTTTGTAGTCAGACGTATGATCTTCGCGTTGTTTATCAAGCTGAACGATACCGCTAGATTGTCGACAAGAATCGACGGCTGCGCGTCGCTCTGCCCCGACAAATACAACGTGGTGACTCGTTCGTTGTCCAACAACGTCTTCCACATTTCTGGCGACAAAAGCACCTCGTTTTCATTGTTGTCGTCTAGAGCTATATCAACGGTTGGTGATTGTTGTAAATTTTCTTCCTTTGTTCTCGTTGCGTGGATTGAATAAAAGGGTTTAGTCCAATTTTAATCGTCGTAGAAAAGTTTATTACTGTTAAATTGCATCAATCTTTGACAGATTTTGTATAGTTAAACTGGCGTGCTTTATGCTAATTTGTTGTAGTAAGATTTTCTTAAATCTTTGAGGTATTGTACAAAATACCGAAAAGCTAGCGCCTGTTAAACAAACAATACTAAATTAACTTATACATAAGAAACACGTAGTAATCGACTACAAAATAAGGCAATCTTTGCAGTCGTCTTTGGTTACATATTAAAACTAAATATTTATTTACCTTACGTGCTTTCGCTTCCACTTACATTGATTTTAATTAAAATACTTCTCCACGATTCATTAAAGTAATTATAGATTACATTCTTTTCTTTTATCAAAGACACACATTGCTTCTGCATGCATTCTCTTTGTTCTAGATATTGCCAATACAACAGAAATAAAAACTACTCACGCGCATGACGGAAATAACGCCATTTGCGTGCTTTACTTGAATTTAATTCCAACAGTGATGCATCCTTGGATGAGATACCGGTGCCGAGTTCGAAATATTTGTATCCCGTCTTGGTTAATATGTACTTGCGGCTCAGTATTCGCGTAGGTTGTGTCGGTGCGTCTGATATATTTGGTGTGAGCTGGATGCCATTGCATTGTCTGTGAATAAGAAAACTACAAAACATGAATTTATCGTAAATAGAAAAATAATAAAAATAGAAGCAGCAAAAAAGAAAGCAAAACAAAAATATTTACCCTTGATCGAACTTCTTTCTCTTCACACCGTTGCGTTGGGGCTCGCGTTGAAGATCGATGGAAAGTTGTTGTTGCTTCATCGGAACCATCGAGTGAAACATCGTCGAGCTGTTCTTTGCGAAGAGGAGAAAGATCGACAACCCGTAGCACACAGGACGATCACAACGAGACTGACTGACTGTATGGTTGCCATGCAACGGTTTATATATCCCTCACATAAAATAATAAAGCGATTTCCCCTACCTTCAACGCGCACACATACTATATCTACTCTGAATAAAGAGCGTGTTCATACTTTTCGAGTTGAAAAACTAGGGACTTTAAGTTGTATAAGATGTTTATATCCGGACAATGTATATCAATTAATCGCATAGTAAAAGGTCCCGCAGAGTGCATGAAACTGGTGAATTCGCTGAACGCGAGATATCTCTCGGAGTACACAAAGCCATCTGCATTACGGAAGGCCAACGACATACTTGGCGGAACTCCCGGAAACGTTAGTTTCAATTTGTTGTATTCCTTAATCCTCACGTTACAATTATCTACAACGGCCACAGAGTCGTTGTTGAATATGAGGTAGGTGTGTCCCATAGAAGATTGAAACGCAGTGTTAATGGCGGCATCGCTAGGCAATCCAATCTCAGAGAAACTGCGCGGCCAACCGTCTTGCAATTGTAAACTGGGATAAAAAATCAAGTACACATAACCATCGGCAAAGAGCACAAGCTCGCCGGATGATTGTTGATAAGCCGCATCCAGCTTTGTAAAATTGGATGGGAGAAAGCGCAAGTATTCTTTCAACAGATGTGGATAAATATGCGGGCCCCAGTTCGAAGAGGCTATATACACATATTTATCATACGCAATGATTGTAATAGTTTTCATCAAAAGTATTACATCGGGATTGCGCACTTCGCACACATGCCTAGGTGGTAGTGGCTTGGGTTTACACAGCAACGGCGGCTGCGGCGTCGTTGTTGTCGTCGTAGTCGGTGCGACCGTCGGAGGGACAAATGTAGAGACCGGCAGTAGTGCAGGTGCATTCGGGTTAGGTCCATAATGGTTGTGCACAGCCAGAACATCATCTAGGCTGAGCGTAACAGGCCACTGTTTAACAGGTGTAAGATTCCCGAATTAATGTTTTAAACAATAAAACAGAGATGGCACAATACCAATGTTATTTGTTGTTTGCTCCACTAGTGAAGATGATGATCGAAAGATCCACACAATTGCGGCTGGATTTGAGATAGAGTCCTTATACCCGACCGTGACGATCACGTGCACAACCGACTGCTTTACCAGTACGCGATCACGTGCACAGCCGACTCTTTTATAATACCACTCCGGATTAAGATTAAACGTTGTGAATATTAATCAATGATACACTTAGTTAATACTGTAAGGATTATATATATATTAGATTAATTGAAAATACAGCACTATTACAAAAGAAAGATATAAATCGACTTGTGTGGTAACGACGCGACTCTCAGGTAATACGTCCGTCTTGTAAACCGATCCTGAGGAGAGTGCTTTCGCATAGATTCGCCGGAACAACCGGCGCGCACCGCACGCATGATTTACCCTGATTGGCTAAAATTCGGCTACACGCCAGAGCGCGCGGCTAATAGTTCATGTCACCCGACAAGTGGTGCCCTCGCGCTGCCGATTTCTTACACAGGCACGAACGCGTACATTACCGAATTGTCGTGTGGACTGTGCTCTATTCCTATAGCATGTCCGATCTCATGAGTCAGTGTGTGCAACAGATGATCTTTATTCCACGGATTTTCAGTGAGCTGCACGTGCCACTGTTTTTCATTGTCGATATGTATCTCAGAGACATGGTTGAGATCTCCGTTGGGATAATACGCGTGAGCGAGTACTCCACCTCGACCATCAAAGTCAAACAGGCACATAGTATCCGAGTAATGCTTGTCCCACATAGTGTGCCGTCCACCTTTATATGAAATCACTATATTAGGATTGTGCACGCTGCGTGTAAAAGTCAGCGATGAATTCGCTGCCCACAGAGCGAACGCAGCCTCCGCTATTTGTAGATTTGCTCTAGAAGCGAACAAAAAGTTCCATGTGAGATGAGTAGTCGGCCATTTGTGTATGTACTCCTTGTTCGAGTAACGCGTCTGGATGTCTCGAACTCCACAACGCGGTCTGTTCATTGTGCGCATCGTTTCCATGTTTAATTCACCATTTATAGGTAGATTGTAGAATTCTTGAAAAAGCGAGACAGTGTGATTCAACGCGCCCTCGGAAATCAATGAGTTTTCGACATTGTCCTCTAGGTAACCGTACTTGCGTAGGAACGCGATAGCGGTCTCTCTTCCATCGACAACGCTCCTCTTTGTCGTATTTGTCATCGATCTCGTCAACGCGATCGACGTCGACGTCGTGAACGCGACGAGGAGCGCGAGAAACGCCAACGGCAATGCGAGCGACGTCATCGTCTTCGCGCGCGAATTGATACTAAATAACAGTCGATTGTCGCGCGGGTGGCAATCGAAGAAGGGAGGGCGCAACAATCGCAATAATTTACAGAACAAATAACACCAATGTAGTTGCAAATAAAAAAGCTGTTGCACGCATGGTAATATATATTTAGTACAAGGAAAACCGCAACGCGCGCCAGACGGCTGCAGCGGAAGCGTCAAAACTCTGGAAGTCTTGAGACGTTTTATATAGAGTTGCATACGGAAGTTGCGGCTGATCTCGCAAATCCAAGACGCACGTTAAGAATAACGCATAGACATAATCAAAATGCTGCGGATACTGCGGAGACGCTCTACTGTTCTCAGTACTGTTTCTAAGAGAAATAGTTCTGATTAGAACGTCCTGTAGGATGTTTAAGCATCCACAAAAATGTGTTCAACCGCATATTGTTAATGAAATTAATATTTTGTGGAAAAAACTGGTGCACATGCTAGGGATAAGCATCCGCTGCAACAAACTATAAAAGGATGATGCATGCAGAGCACATATGTAGAAAGTTAAAATCATAACAATGGATAGACTGGACGAGTGCATTGACGCAGCGGACCGTATTGTAGCTGTTGCCGAAGCTCTGATCTGTAAGACCAAACAGTTGGCGAATCAAATTAAAGAAGTGCAGAAGATCAACCAAACAAATATGGAATTTGGGAGAGGGTTCTTCTTTACGATTACACCAAATCCTATGGAAGAGACGATCCTGCTACAACAATTGTAAGTGTCACAAGAAAAAACTAAATAAATAAAATAAAGGAAATAAAAAATGAATAAAATTAAAATATATTAAATAAAATTCACTAAATTGAATAAATTAAATACATGAAATAAATTGAATATATTAAATAACAAGAAGTATATACAATTTAGTTATATATTATGTGTGTTATGTTTTTTATAGATTTAACATACACCACCAAATACATATATGTAGCGAAGATGTTGCAACGATGACTTATAACTCTGAGGCCATCGTTCAGGATGGAAAATATATACAACAACGGATCACGGAGGATGACGATGCAATTGAATAAAGAAATTAAAATAAATATGTACAAACTCAAAATATATACTGGATAGACATTAATGTAAAAAAACAATAAAATGTGAATAAAAACAAAACAAAAGAGAGAGACACGTCAGAGCATATTGTGTGTTTATAGTTCCCTAAACATAAAAAATTATAGATCATAAGAAGAAATAATTGTATACAAATGAACAAACCACACACTAGATTTTATATGTAAAAACATTTCTTTATTCATACGCATATAGTGACATACAAATGGGAAATATGTTACGATTATTATAATAGAATGAATATATAGAGTAATGTATAGTATATTTAGTTAATAAATAATACAAAGCTACAGGTCGCTCAACGTATCGTTCCGTGTTGACCACCACGCGTATAGTTTACACACGTTTTCCATAGCGCAATTTCTTGAGTGGTTTCCGCAGTTGAAAACTCGCGAATCGTCGAGATTTCGCAGACTTTCGATGTCCTCATAGTCGATGTCGATGGTTTCGATGATGATGTCACAATCGTTGAGGACGTCGCCAACGATCTTTGTCAATCACTGCTTCTTCTCGACACCTTTTACATACACTAGTGTAGACCCGTTGTTTGGTACGCATGACAGAGCGTTTCGAAGCATCGGCTTCAAGCGTTGATATTCCACCGTTCCATCGGTCCAGTGCAGGCTGTGATGGTTGACCGTGAGCCAGCACGCTCGCGTCTGCTCGGCTTTTGTCAACAGGTTCCACGACATAGGTTCTCGAAACACATGGTGAATCAGCTCGCGTCCGTTCCGAAGTATCGCCGCTTCCTTAGTTATAAAGTTGTTATCTCCAATCATAAAACCTTGGAGATCCACAAATATTGGTATGCCCACCGAGGAACGCAGCATGGTGGACATCGTTGTCGTCGACGTTGACAAAGCGTGCGACATCGTTGACCGTACGAACGCGACTGACGACTGCTCTAAACGATACGTCGCACGACGCTGGTCAGCGGGTTGTACTCGACGATACGATTGTGTATGATCAAACAGTACGCGGTTGTATCGGTGGGTACATTTTCTTTGCAGTTGAATTCAATGCGAACGTCAACGGTGGCGCTCTTGACCGTTTCGTTTTGGCGTGAACAGTCGATGACCACGAGCAGTAGATGAACTTGTCCAACGTTAGGGCGATGTCCCATTGAGCGGAAATCTATAGCGGAACGGAATGTGCGGAACCAGCTCGACCAATCGTAATCAAAGAAAAAGCGAAGGAAAGAAAACGGAATAGCTATGATTGGTCGAGCTGGTTCCGCACATTCCGTTCCGCTATAGATTTCCGCTCAATGGGACGTCGCCCTTAGAAGCGCCTCGTCCTCGTCGCATCCGTATTACGATCGTCTGAATTTGATGTACATGTCGTACAAAATGGCGTATCGTTCCTTACTAAAATCTAGATTCAAATCGTCGAAGGGATAGAAATCTGAATTCAGGAACAACTTTACATTGGATAAGTTACAATGATCAAATCGCGAGCAATCTCGGCTGACAACATTCTTTCGGCCGGTCTGCAACGCAAAAATGATGTAACGCGGTTTTTCCAACTGTGTAACCGCTTTTACAGCCCACGAATGAGACGTCGTGCTCTGTAACAGCGGATACTCGTACAGATCCCACGAGCGAAAACCCATGGTCAAATATTGACCGCTTTCCAAAGTGCGCAACAGCTTCAATTTGTTCACATCGTTTAACACAACGTGTGGCATTCGCCACTGCACCTTGTGCAATTCCACCGTTGATCCGCTGTTAGCCGAAGCAAAGACGCTATTGTTGTCGTTGCGCGATCGTATCAGAATAAGTTCGTGTCTCGCGTTGATCACAACGCGTTTATAGTCCTCGCAGAATCCCAGCAATGTGCGGAAAGGTACGCAAAAATTGAATTCACCAGCACCTTTATTGGCGGATAAGTTCCATCCGGCATGTCGCAGAACGTTCCCCGTTTCAGTGGTTAGAGACACGTAGTTCTTTAACGTGCTCGTTACACCAGGGTTGCGATTTCGATCGATTTCCACACCATTGAGCTCGTATCTGATCTCATCGAACATAAACGCCACGCAATTGTTTGTCAACGCGGCGGCGGCAACCACGCCGCTTTCTTCCGCTACTCCAGCGGTGGTTTGCAGACTGAACTTTCCCTCGACGTATAAGTAACTGTCGGACGGCAGAGTGTAAACATCTTGTTGTTGAATGGGTATGCGTATCTCGTCGCTGTGACCGAACGATGTATTGACGTACGGATTGTATGTGTGAGTCTCGATCTTGACGATACGATCGTCGAAGACTGGTTCACCACCGACGTTGAGTACGTCGTTCATCGTTGTTGTTGTTGTCACCGTTGTCTACTGAGTAACCCAACGCAAAAACGTTGCGTTTCGCGCAGTCAACGTCGAACGATCGAAAACGGTAGAACAATCTCGTTGCGTTGTTTTTCGTTCTCTCGACGCGGTCACGACGAGCATAGTCTTTTGTTTTTCCCTCGATGCGCGAGCGTCGACGCTGTTTTTTTACTCGCGTATCTTCCGTACGTGTAAGCGCACCGATATCGTTTCGCCGCGAAAATCGATCAATCGACCGTTCTGATCCACTATGCGCACCGTGATGTTCGTAACGCTCCTCGCGAAGACCGGGAGGTAAATGATTTGACGCGGCAACTGTCTCCGACAGTTTATATCCCGGTACGTTCAGAGCGAATTCATGTATTGTGTGCACGAGTTGCTCGTTGCTGTACGCTCCCGCGCTGATGTTACATTCCACGCGAATCACGTTCACGTTCATGATGTTCACCGGTTCGTCTGACGCGTACCACTGGTTAGGTTGCAGAATGCGCGACGATGAGAAACCGAGCAGCAAGCCGATGTTGTTGAGTTTTGAAAAGTTGACTCGATAAGCGCACTTGATCTCGCTTCGCATGGTGTTGTCGTTGGCGCGAAGCGTCAACGCGCTCTTGTCACTCACATCGTTATCATCGTCGTCGTCATCGAACATATCGTAGTCGTCATCGTTGTCGTTGTTCTTGTTAACGCTCGCCTTTAGTTCTCGACGTCTGCGAAGTACAGCGGTGTTCAGAAAACGAGCGAGAGCGCGCAATTCGTACGAACCCACGGTAATTGTTATCGTTTCGTCGTTATCATCGAAGTAGAACTTGTTGTTCGTCGAGTCGACGTTCGATATCGTGTTGTAAGATTCGAAGTTTGTAAGACCGAGTTCGTAGACTCCGTCGCTCAGATCGATAGGCGGATAGTAACTCACCGCGAGAACGCTGCTTCTACCGGTTAATGTGAGCGTGATCGACGTTGTTGAGCGCGCGAGAGAACAATCGTTTACCACTCGAGATCCCTCAGAAAACGCAGACACAACTGACCGCAAACGTTCTGATCGTATGTTTGATTTTGACGGACGACGATTGTACGCGATCGCCACGTTGCTTCTTAGATAGCGCTCGAGTTCTCGCGGCGGACGCAAGTTGCCGAATCCGTCAAAGTACACCGCGTTGCGTCCTCTCTTGGCGTAGGCGACCCAATGCGTGCCCGGTCCGATAGCGTCGTCGAGATTGACGATGCCGCTCTCGTTCGCGCGTACGCGCGCGGGTAAAGCGTTGCGCATAAATACACCCTTGAAGAATGGTATGCGAAGTCGTCGGGCAAGCGCGTCGAGTTGCACGTTCGTGGTAACACCGGGCGGCAAAGCGACATCTATCGCTTGTTTCCGCGCGGTTTTTTTACCGCGAAGATCTCTTCCAAATGCGTTGCGTTTGTAAGGCGCGAGATACAATCCGCGACCTTCCAACGCGCGATTGTGTCGTTGCAGTTTCTCCAATTGACGCGCAGCGGCCTTTCGATCGCCAACGGCTTTCGCTACACCAGCCGCACCACCGATCAACGATCCGATGGCTCCCAGCA